GACATCCTCATCAGAGAAAGGATTGACATAGCCTGTCTGCAAAAGAAACACCTTACTTCAGCAATGAGGTTTAACATCAGAGGCTACCAAACCTTTAGAAAGGATGGGAACTGCGCACCTAAAGGAGGAGTGCTCACCCTAGTCGCAAACTCCATCTCGGCGAAAGAAATCAGGGTGCAAGATACAGGTGAGTCAGAAATCATAGGAGTCGAGCTCAAACTCCCAGACCGGGTTGTAACAGTCTACAACAGTTTTCTGCTATGCACCTCCTGATAAAGCTCTCATGCTTCAAGTGATGGACATTCCAGCAGAAGACTGCTTAGTTCTTGGTGACTTCAACAGTCATTCTCCAAGCTGGGTATACAGAGACCTAGATGCCAAAGAAGAGGAAATAGAAGACTGGCAAGCTTTCACCAAGTTACACCTGCTCAACAAACCAGACGATCGCCCCATTTTCTTCTCCAGAGCCTGGAAAACCACGTCTCACCCAGACCTATCATTTGCCAGCAACAACATCAGCAGAGGATTAACAAAACAAGTCATGGAACAACTTGCAACTAGTGACAACAAACCCATCCTAATCACCAGCCTAGTCCCCCCCCCACCGTATCAACTAACACCTTGCCCAGAAGGAAGTACAAGAAGGCAGACTGGACCAAAGTTGCATCTCTTACAGATGTATATACCACCAAAATTAATTCCAAAACCTCAAACACCAACAGAAGTGCGAGGGAGCTCACATAGGCCATACTGCAAGCGGCAAAAGAGTCCATCCCCAGGGGAGCTAGAAAGGAATATGTTCCAAACTTGTCTGAAGTCACCACAGCAAGAGGAGCAGTTGAAAATCTACCAACAACAGAAAACAACATTCAAATAAAGAGAACTGCAGCGGAATTTAAGAAGGCAACTAGTTCAGCCGTTCGGAAAAGTTGGCATGAAAAGACAAGCTCCCTAAACTTACACAAACAAGGAAACAAACTATGGAGGATTTTCAGATCATTAAACGGAGAAAACCTAAACAAGAATGCACCAGTAATACTTGACAAAGATGGCGAGTCCAACGTAGATACACAAGCAGCAAACCTACTCATTCAGCAGTACAAGGAAGTGGGCAAGTTAGAAATATCCCCAGACAAAATAGAAGTACAGAGAAAATACATGCTTTTGAATCCCCAAAAGAACCTAAAGGTGATGTTATGACCAAACCACTCTTAATGACAGAGCTGGATAGAGCCCTGCTCCAGCTCAAACCAAGACAAGCCCCAGGCCCAGATATAATAAGCAATGAAATGCTTAGAAGAAAATCCTCCAAATATTCAACAGCAGCTGGAAGAACGGGAAAATTCCAAAAGCTTGGAAAACTGCTATACGGATACACCTCCATAAAGACGGAAAACCCAAGAACAGTGCAGAAAGCTACCGCCCAATTAGCCTCACCAGCTGTATGTGCAAGCTTCTAGAGAGGATCCTCAACTACAGACTGGGTTGGTTCCTAGAGAAAAACCATCTTCTATTAGATAACCAAGCTGGGTTTAGGAAACATCGATCAACCGAAACCAAAATACATACATTGCTCAGATGGTAGAGGACGGCTTCCAAAGGAAAGAACACGCTGTAGCTGTCTGGATCGACCTGGAGAAGGCGTTTGATAAAGTCTGGACAGAAGGACTCATAATAAAATTACAAAATCTGAACATCTCTCACAATAGGCTGAAATGGATCTCACAATACCTATCTCAAAGAAGATCCTGTGTGAAACTGCAAGGAAAAAGAAGCAAAATGGAGACAATCAGTAAGGGGGAGTTTTATCAGCGACCCTAATCCTAATTTTCCACAACGACATTTCAACCACCATCACCAAGAAAGTGACAGCAGCAGAGTACGCAGATGACATCGCTCTTTTACGCTCGGCAGAATCAGTAGGAACAGCTCAGGTACGACTCCAAAGCACACTCATCAACATGATGAAGTGGACAGAAGAGTGGGGATAAAAGATCAACAAGAACAAGACCATGTACGCAACATTCAGCCTCTCACCAAAACCCCGAAAGGTAAACTTGCATCTTGATGGAAACACTCTACAACACGAGTCAAATCCCACCTATTTGGGTGTGACGTTTGATCCAAGACTAACGTGGCAAGCCCAAACAGAGAGGTGCAGAACTAAAGGTAACAGAAGAAAAACACTGCTTAGAAAGTTGGCAGGGTCAGATTGGGGAGCAAACCACACCGTCTTAGACGGAGCCTATGTTGGATATGTCCGCCCAGTCCTGGAATATGGTTTCGCAGCGTGGGGAACAGCATCAGACAGCAACTTCCACAAAGCAGCGAGAATCCAGAATCAAAATCTGCGGATCATCACGGGAGCAATGAGATCCGCGCCCATTCTTGTCATGGAAACACTAACGGGGCTAGAACCCCCTGAACGACAGACGCGATCTGAAAGCGATTGTTCATCAGGAAAAGGTCAAAAGAATGCCAACCCATCCAATGAAGAATATATCTTTAAAAAGCCAGAGCAAATGCTTAAAAAGAACAAGTTTCCTCCATATGGCCAGACACTCCACCTCTGGACTCGAAATCTCTCTTGAAAAATCTCCAACCCCGCTAGACCCGTGTCAAGTCCACCCCCTTCAGTCTAATTACGCCCCTCAAATTCGAGAGAACCTAGAAAAGCTTGGCTCCAAAGCTGAAGTCCCTCCTCCAATACTCAAGTCACTGACGCTCGACTACCTGGACAGAAACTTCCCAAGCAACCGGCGGAATCGAGTTTACACAGATGGATCAGCAACTGATACAGTCAGAAACGGCGGTGGAGGTATCTACGTAGAGTGGATAGATTAGTCAACAGAAAGCCATTCCATCCCCACAGAATCTATATCTTCTAATTACAAAGCAGAAACATCAGCACTCGAAAAAGCAGCCACCATTCTCTTGAATCACCAAAAATCTAAAGCCAACACCGTCATCCTCACAGATGCCAAATCTGTCATACAAGCTCTCCAAAAGCCACAAACAGCTCAAGTACGACAACTCCTTTCACTCCTATGTGATCTAAACTCCCAAGCCAACATAACTTTACAGTGGATACCAGGTCACTGTGGCTTTCATGGAAATGAAAAAGCAGACGACTTAGCCAAAGAAGGAGCCAAAATGACCCAGATTGAAGATGGCATGGATCTCTCAGAGTCAAAAACACTAATAAAATCTGCATCAAGAAACAGATGGAAAAGGTCCCACCCTAAACACAACAGACATGACCCCTACTACATACTAAATAGAGCAGACCAGGTCACAATCTTTAGACTCTGTTGTGGTCACAATTTAACAGACTCAAACACCATATGCACACCAAATTAAAAGTGGGAGATTCAGCGATCTGTGAAAGTGGACACGACCAAGAGGATGCCAACCATATCCTTCAGCACTGCCCACGCTACGCCACCCTTCGCACACAGACGTGGCAGAATGTGGCTCCCCTTGAGAGAAAGCTCAATGGCAGTCTGTCAGAGTTGAAGCGAACTGCACAGTTTGTGCGCGACATCGGACTGACTGTCTAGCTGCTGTCATCGAGAATGAGGAAGAAAAAGAAGAAGAGGACAAATAGATAGATAGATAGATAGATAGATAGATAGATAGATAGATAGATAGATAGATA